GTTCAAGGAATTTTTCGGTCAACTGATGATGTTTTGAACAATTTCCGTCTAGATGGACCTCAGGAACATATTTATGAAAGGTTAGTGACTTTCGCAGATACAAAATGAAGGTTAGAGTAAAATCTGCAAAAAACGAAAAGGTTAGGAACCGTTGATGCAATTTTTCCTAAAATATTTTACTCACAAACCAATAAAATTTCCTAAATTTTTAACCACACATTTTTAAAAAAATACTATTCAATAACTCATCTAAGTCTTATTAAAGTTAAAAGATTGTTTGTGAAAGCTCAAAAGTTATTAAAAATTTGAGGTTAAAGTCAACAATTGAATTTAATAACATATTTTATAAGATTCACGAATTTTATCGACTTTAAACTCCAAAATTTATCTTCTATTTTAATCAAATTATCTTAAAACTTTTATTAAAAATTTTGTCAAATAACCGCTACACTTTACATTACAAACACATCCTTAATGTCTCCCCGAGTCACCATCTGTGCACCAAACCAAAACCTTAAAATCTAAAAGTTGAATAAATACAATCATGCTTGACGTACATTCCATCTGATAGCCTTTTTGACAAAATGTCACATGGCAAAAAAGTTGTTTTCTCATCTAATCATTTTTTAACAACACATTTTTTGTCAGGAGGTGGTAAGAAGGAATGTACAAATAGCAAAATTCAAGTTAAATTTCACACTGTCATGACATCCTATGATTTTATTATTTGGTTTATTAAGACAATTTTTATTCTTATATGAATGAGTATAAACTTAAATTTAAAATTTAACCCCCGTTTGACCCCATTAAATTTCATTACGTTACATTTTATTTTTCTCTCCTATTTTCAATCCCACAATTTTTTATAAAATAATATTACATATAAATCGAATTTTTTTTTCTTTTTCAACCATTCATTTTTCAAAAAAAATACTATTCCACCCATTTTCATTTCTAGAAAATGAAAATGGGGGCCAAACGAGAGCTAATTCTTGACTTCCACTTTTAACTCCTGCTATATTCTGATCGAAACCTAAGGGTCCATTGGTTCATGTTTCAATTTTGAATTTTGAATTCGTTTTCAAATTTATATTTTAAAGGTCTATTTTAAGAATGCTAGAAACGCGTTTAGTTTATTGCCTTAAAAAATTATTTCTCAATACAGAAAACTAAAAAACAAGTTAGATTTGAAAATTTGAAAATTCATTGTATGACATGAAATTTGATTGTTCGGTAAAAATAAAATAATTTTATATTAATACACTATCAAGTAAAATATATATTTTAAAGTTATAAATCTTACAATATTTATTATCGCTACAAAAGTAAAATAAATAATAAATAATAAATTGAATTCAAAATGTAGAAAATAAAAATAAAATTTAATGGAATGGACTGAAAATATTTTTATTTGTGTTCATTTTAATATTTTTTTCAAAATTTTTATGTAAATAATCATTAAGAACTTGAATTGTTTTTATTTTTTATAATTTTTATTCTTCTAGAAATTTGTATAATTTTGTTAGAGTTTTATTTTTTCAGAATTTTTATTTAATTATTTTTTAAAAAAATTTCAATTTTATTTTTTGAATTATATATATTAATTTTTATTTAAACACGTGTTTTCCACATTTTCATTTTCTATTGTGAAAGCTATGTCATTTACGACCACGACGTAATTCGAATGCTTGAAGGCCCAATCAACTCGAAGTGATTTAGAAAGATTCTTAGCTTGACATTAGGAACAGTTTAAAAGGCCCATCTGCGACTATACTCAACCCATGTTCAAGATCTTGAACTGTGAAGTGAAAGGTTTGACTTTAGAGTTCGATCCGATCCACTCCTAATCAGCTTGATTAAGTAGGACGATTGTTCGAGTAGGTCCTATTGACTTACCTTTTTGTCAATACATCATCACTAAAAACACTCGGCCCTTGTTTGAGCCTGATCCTTTTGATAAGAATGAATTTTTGAATAGTATATTGATAGAAAATGAGTGGTTAAAAATAAGAAAAGTTTTGAATTTGTGTGTAATATTATTTTATTGAAGAATGTGTGGTTGAAATGATGTCAAAACACTATTTAAGAATATATTTTTTTTTTCAAAAAATGTGAATTAAACAGGGGCTCAAAATGTCAAAAGTACATTTTGAATTTTACATTATAAATTATCATTGTTTTCAAAAATTCATTTTTAGAATTATCAGACTAAACTCATTTTTAATATTTTGCAAAACTGAAACTGAAAATAGCAAACCAAACGTATCCTTAGTTTTTGTATATTAATATTTATATACAAGGTTTTTTTTTTCGTTGCATCATATTAATTGTAATAAAGGACCCCAAATATTGTTCATTTAATATTTATGTTCTTACCTTTTTTTCACATTATTTGTCTTCAATACTCCATTTGTTGGGTAATTGCATCAAAAGTCAGAAGTTGAAGGACTTCTATTGCAAATAATAAAAGGTTATTGTTGTATGGAAGACTTCTAATTAAAATTGAGAGTAGAATTCTTGCAGATTTTGATCTTCAATTTACAGCTGATTTTGGAGTATTGCACATGGAGAAATTACTGTTGAGTTAAATGAGTCTTGTTTGAATTTAAATTAAACTCTTCTATTTGGTTATTGACTATATAAATAGTGGATGTATTTCATTATTTTGGGTGTGGGCAGAGAGTTTATTTAAGAGGAAAATATTGTGAGCCTAATATTTTGAGACTTTTTGTAGATTGGGTAAAAAAGTAGGTGTGATAAAACTTGAGTTTGTTTTTTCTTTGTAATATTTGGGGATTGGGTTGGTGAGTGAAATTCTATATGATTGTAATAATTTTTCATATAGGCAAAAGTTTTGACGGTCCGTTTAATTTGTGCTCTATATTTTTTATTTTTCCTTATTTGCTAATATTCTCTTGAACAACAGAAGATCATGCGGGTAAATAGAGATAAAGAGAATTAGCGTAAAATCCTCAACAAGTGATATCAGAGTGTTATGTGGTTTGAAGTATTGAAGCAACAGAAAAATATGTTGTCGTTGAAATATGATGTGGAGAAATTTGACGAGAGAATCAATTTTGACTTGCGGCAAGTACAAGTTAAGAATTTATTGACTCAAGCTGGACTGTACAAGGCTTTGAAAGGAAACTCAACCAAGAGTTCTAGCAAGATTGACAGCTCTATGAGGAGGAAAGCAACTTGTTGGAACTGCTGTTAGATTGGTCACGTGAGGATAAATTGTCCCAAAAGTGGAGCTGGGTCGAGTAATTGTTTGGGGTTGGACGATGCGTCTCTCATAGCGGAGGAGGATGCAAATGTGGTGCTGTAAAGTAAGATGAGAATATCCTCGTGTCATGTTGCCAGTTGTCACGATAGATGATGTGTTCTTACTGGTGCGGGTCAGCATATCTGCACATAGCATTGACTGACATTTGATGCAAGGTGTATAGGTATGTGGTAGTGTTGTGATGTCGATAGCTGATGAGCTCTTCGAAAAAGTCAGTGGAAGAGTTGCACCATAACTATCAGCAGGGTTGTTTCGACATGTAGCCGATGAAATGCTCGGAGTTTGTGGATAATTCTGAGTGGTTATACTCATATGATCGAATATGGAACTGTTAAAACCGTCTCAAAAGCTTACTTGTTTTTTCCAAGTACTGTGATTAAAAGTTATAGAAGAGATGACAAGATTTTGACTTATTTTTTCGATAAGATGGAGATTGTTAGGTAATTGCCTCAAAAGTCAAAAGTTGGAGGACTTCTATTGCAAATAATAAAAAGTAGTTATTGTATAGAAGACTTTTAATTAAAGTTGAGAGCAGAATACTTGCAGAATTTGATCTCCAATTTACAGCCAATTATAGAGTTTTGCACATGAAGGAATCATTGTTGAGTTGAATGAGTCTTGTTTGAGTTTACATTAAACTTTTCTACTTGGTTATTGATCCTATAAATAGTGGATGTATTTTATTATTTTGGGTTAGCCAGAGAGTTGAGTTGAGAGGAAAATATTGTATGCTTAACATTTTTGGACTTTGTATCTTTGGATAGAAAAGTAGATGTGGTAAAATTCGAATTTATTTTTTTCTTTGTAATTGGGTTGGTGAGTGAAATTTTATATGATTGTAAAATTTTTTCATATAATGAAAAGTTTTGACAATCCGTTTAATTTGTGTTTTTCTTTGTTTGCTAATATTCTCTTGAACAACAAAAGATCCAGCGGATAAATAGAAATAAAGATAATTGGCGTAAAATTCCCAACATCATTGATTAATATTTCCGTCTCTTAAATGATTTATTCGTCCATTATTATTATTTTTTTTTTGAAAAAATGAATACAAAAGAATGGCAATGTATTTTTTTCGACCTTCCAATAACACAAATAAAACATTTTGTCATAAACTGTTGTTGAGAATGAAATCCATTAATTAATGAAAGGTTGAAAGTAAAAATTTGATGAAAAAAATCTATGAACACAAATTTTTTAATAATTAAAGATCGATGTTTAATTAAAATTTGGTTTAATTAATAACAACTTTGGTGGTTATTGTCGAGACTAGTTTAAAAAACATTGAGAAAAAAAGAAAGAAAAATCACTATTTTTAGCATATGTTTGTGCAGTAAAGAAGGAAGCTTACAAAAATAAGCCCCCATTTTTTTAAATAAATTTTCACCCTAAAAATTAATTTTTTATCGTTATTTCATTATTTCAATCGTTATTTTTGACTTCCTTACTCACAGATGAAACATATTTTTCTCTCTAACGATAAAAAAATTAATTTTCAAAATTACCTTGGATAAGGCTTAAGGGGGCGTTTATTTTCCATTTTTATAAAAACGAGAATAAAAAATATAGTTATTATGGATCTCATACAAAAAATAGAAATTCAAATTTGGTGGTTTAATGAGATAAATAACGATCATATTTTTTATTTTAATGTAGAAAAAATGAAAAACAAACACGTGCTAAATAGATAAATTGAAAAAATGAAAAGTAAATGCAACAACCAGAAAAGTATTCCCCCAATAACTTCTAAGTTTGCACCACATACCACCTAAATTAAAAACCTAAAACCCAAACTGTTCAACGATCCGATCAGATTCAAAAGGCTGTATTCACTCACATGGCTTCATCAGAAATCGAAATTGTATCAGAATCAGCTGACCAGAAACCCTCCAATCGAAACCCTAATGAACTCCAGATGGTAGACATTTATTCCGCCTCTGCGTACGGAGACTTCGAGAAGCTCCGGCACTTTGTCGAAAACGATGGCGTTTCGGTTTCCCAACCCGATGGAAATGGCTACTATCCCCTACAGTGGGCTGCCCTCAACAATTTCGCTGACGTTGTTCAGTACATAATTGAGGTATATACTATTGCAGTATGTGTTTAAAACTCGTAATTTCCTGTTTACTTTTGTTTATCTGGGGTCTGTTTTGGTTTTGAGGATTGATTGATATAATTGAATTTTTGTTTAAGCGTGGTGGTGATGTTAATGCTTCGGATAATGCGGGGCAAACGGCACTGCACTGGGCGGCGGTTCGTGGTTCAATTGCAGCAGCGGACAAGTTGATGCAGAATGGGGCGCGTGTGGAGGCTGCTGATGTTAATGGTTATCGGGTAATTGTTTTGAGTTTGTTGACATTTTAATTTTCAGACGGTGGGATTAATTTTTATACTGTTGAAGCTCTGTTGGAAATTTAATTTGCAGTCATTAGGATTGAAATTAATGTTGTTGGAGTACTAAATTTTCTTAGTGGTTTCTTAATGTACTATTTCGACAAGATGGATTTTTTGGTAAACTGATGTAGACATGGCATCAGAATGGATTACTTCTTTAGAAAGCGACTCAGTGTGTGGTTGATCTTTTTGGAAGTTATCTGATGCTAGCAGTAAGTCATTATTTTCATTTTTCTTTGGTCCATACAGTTGAAGTACTTAGTAAATGAGAAAACTAATATTTAAAATCAAATATGAAAAATCCAATCCTCATGTTGTCACCAACCAATGGGAAGAACATTAGTTAATAATGTTTAAGCTTTAAATGTCTAGAACTTGTGGTGCATATATATTACATGGTGACCATATCCAAATGCACATACATTTGTATAAATAGTGCAGTCTGTCCGTGGTCACCAAGCTGTGTTTTATCTTAAACATATAGAATTGATAGATTTGGTTTAATGGCAAAATCACCGCTCTCTCTCTCTCTCTCATAATATAAAATGGGAGTTGGATACAGAGTTCTATTCACATGGGGTAGGGTGAAAATTCTGTGGTTCAGTTCTATTTTATGGTTTGTGGATGTATCACGTTTCTTATGTTTTCCATATTCCATATCTGATGGAAGCTTCCTAAATCAAAACTATTTATGTTGTAGGCAGTTCACGTCGCAGCACAATATGGGCAAACAACGTTTCTGAATCACATTGTTGCTAACTATCATGCTGATTTTGATGTACCTGATAATGATGGGAGGACTCCACTTCACTGGTATGTTAAATGCCTGTGCAATTCACATGCCATAATATTTTATTTAATTACATTATATTATTTGAACATATATATATATATGAAAACGTCTTTAATGAAAGTGATAAAGTCTACAAAATTTACATAAATCTTCCCACCAAAAGTTTGAAAAAAATTTCTTTAATTAATATGAAAATTACTTGCTTTTCAAAAATTTTTCTTTCTAATAAATATGAAGAGGACTTGTTAATAAGGTATTTCTTTTAAAATTTTTACACATTTTGAAGTACAAATTTCTTCCTACCAATAAATATTTTCTAGAGAAAGTCTACTAATTTGGTAAGATTTTCTACACTTAATTAATTCGTTTTAAAAAGTCCGCACTTTAAATTACTACGACCAAGAGTATATAAATATATTTCTATTGTCTTTGCTACTAAAGGTCTATTGCTAAAAAATGTCTAACTAGTTCTACTGAAATTTCTTTTATTATTTTCTCTTATAATTTTTGCTCGTTGTTGTCTTTCTTTATAATCTTTAGGATCGTTTGTTAAGAAACTTCGACATTGAGAGATAAAGAGCTCAGTGATTTGCTTCTTAATCTGTAAAGAGGAGTCACCTCTATTTCTATTTAGAGCGGATAAAATATGGCTTCCAACAACGACTAATCTTCATATCTCTCTATTTTCTAAACAAATATTAACTCGTTAAAATTTTCCAATGATCAAGTAAGGCAGTGTAATTTAAAGGCATAAAATATTAAAACTTTAAACCGATATGTTTGTAATGGCATTTGAGTACTTTACCGTTCAGCAAATTAATTTTTTCAGACCTTTTTTTTTAACTCTCTCTTAGCTTTTTTCTTAACATTTTAAAGAATGCTTAAAACTGTAGCCAAAAAGATTTTCATCAT